AAATATTCTCATCTCACAAATTGAAACACGAAAGAAATCGTCAACGACTGAAAACATGCTGACAAAAATCCAAAGCTCCATTCTCTACTGATCACCATCCATACGTAACTACTCATACCGACTCTGCAATTGGTTGACAAATCAACTGCTGCCCCTCTAGGAGTATAAATCACAATCTATACCGATACTCACAAATCTCAGCAATTGCACCCTGAAATCAGCGACCCAACTGCCTCGAACTCAACATTTGCAAACCTTGCACCCCGCTTCATCCACCAATAACCCATATTTCCTGTGTCTGCACTGCAGATCTCCATAACCAGCTCTCTAACAGTACCTGAAAAAATCTCTGATCCTCTTAATAAAATACTCAGTCCTCCCCCACTCAGGGCTTGAACCATCACCAATTGGCATACCCACAGTCCATTCCACAGACTGTTTCACCGGGTACATCACACTCAACTCTTGGAACGTACCACATAATCACATCAATGATCTTCCCGATGGAACCAAGCAACTCCAAATATCCCATAACTCAGATAAAAAATCTCAGAATCCTCTCGACGTGACTGTCTCTAGTAATCTCGAAGCCTCAGACCGACACACCGCCGGATACCCCAACTGTTCCGAAATAATCCTGACTCTCGGTCCGGAAATAATGCACTATCACACACCTCGTCTCTGACTCCTCGACCAGCCTCCCAATACGGGAATCATCATCAAAGCACGAGACCTCACTCTCACGGCCGATACACAACATAACGACGAGGTCCACTGCCCCAGGATACTCCTCTTGATCACTTGGAACCGCTGCTAAAAACATGCCTGACTCGACTAACGGATATTTTGTGTCCTCATCTCAGTCTCCACTAATAGTTCTCTCGTGGCATAAGGAATACCTCGCAGCAACATACTGCCCAAATACTCTAGTGAAAAGGTTGCAACCTATGCTACCCCACAGGGTTTACCTCTAACTCTGAAACTGAAAACTCTTATCTCCTTCGCTTCTCCCAGAAATGGGGACAGTGCAACTCTTATCACAGAAGGTGACGTCTCATTTATCGGTCGATTGCTCAACTCAGACCGCGATCCTCCAATAAGCATCACCTCTACTCATCCCTGAGTCTTGTGACTCCAACTGGCATCTCACCAATAAAATCTCACGGAAACTAACTCGATTTCCCTCTCAAGGTAGGCGCCATTAAAAATCGCTCGAAATGGCCCTCGGGCCCCACACGCTATAACATCTGATCTCGGTCTAATCAATCACAACGAGATAACTGGTAAAACCAGAAGCACTAACCGCCACAAATCATGGTACTCAAACCATGTGATCACCTCTCAATCTGCTACGAATCATGGTACCCGAACCACGTTATATCCTCTTAACCTGCTACGAATCATGGTACCCGAACCATGTTATCTCTCTTCTCAATCTGCTACGAATCATGGTACTCGAACCATGTTATCCCTCTTCTCAATCTTCTACGAATCATGGTACTCGAACCATGTTATCTCTCTTCTCAATCTGCTACTTAGAACCACTGGAATTCTCCCTCTTTCGAGTATGGGTCCTCTGCTTTCAGTAGTACGGGCCCATACTACCTGCCACATCTACCCATACTTTCCACACGGATCGTCCCAGATTTCCTAAGTAGCTGCTCAACCTTCCCGATCACTAATCTCGTTATACCTGGTCACTCTCCAGCGAATACTCTCCTCTATCAGCGTACTCATCTGACTAAGGGCTCTCCCTAGGCTCTTCCTAGGTTCTCACACTTCTCTACCATCAGCTGCTGAAGAACTCCTTATGATGCCAGCCATCTACCTCCTAAATATCGTCATATTCACTTAGTAGCTGACTCCCATCATCAAGAGTCCCACAAAGCACGAAGCAAGCAGCATTTGGGCATCGAATAATCTCTACCAACACGTAAAACCACTCTACGTTACAACTCCACTTGCTCTACTCGCACCCAAAAGGTGTCACCGAACTCAAGCAACTCTACCCCTCGTGGGCATTTAACTACTCTCTTAGTAGGATCCTCCGATGCTCATCTAGGTATCTCTCCTAGATTACTCCTCTACTCAAAGCTCTCTCTCTCTCTCTAAAAGATTCATGTTGGATACTCTTACTCCGCACATACTCAAAGCACATCACAGATAGCAAAATTCCTAGGCTAAGGCATCACAAATCAGGCAACTCTAGCCCTAAGATGTGAAATAGCTAGCCTATCTTCTAGCATGCATTACTAATATCTCAATAATACTTATAACACAAATAAGCAACGGTATTTTGGGAAATCACCGTTCGGGCTCTGGCAGATTGTACACACTGCTCTTTCTCGTTTTTCTCTTAGAAACTCTTGCTCATTTTAGAAAATCATTTCTTTTGAAATTTTTTCTCAATTCCTCAGTTTGAGTCCACATATACCCGAAGGTGCATCCGAATCCCTCAAACCAAGGCTCTGATACCAACTTCTAACACCGTAAGTTTTCAAACAAATTTTTCATTGTAATTTCACATAATTCTCGTAACACATTTCACAAAAATCCCATTTATTTAATTTACAAAACACAACTCCATAATTATTTAATTAATAATCCAGGATCCTCAAAACATGACTCTTTCTCTGGTGTGTACAATCAAGCCGGCGCCTTCCCGCGATCTTGAAAAGAACCTGAAACACATATCACATAACACTGTAAGCACAAAGCTTAGTGAGTTCCCCAAAATACCACATACACATATAATAAGCCTCTCATGGCTATAGCTCGTTGGACCCTCCGGTCCGGTCTCAGTGTGGACCCTCCGGTCTCACGGCTTGTTGGACCCTCCAATCCGGTCTCAGTGTGGACCCTCCGGTCTCACGGCTCGTTGGACCCTCCGGTTCAGTCTCAGTAACATATAATGTAGCATATATATATCACACAGACAAGATGCATAACTCAAGTAAACACATATGAACCTCCGGTCACTCATAGGTACCACTCATGGTAAGTATAGTGAGAAGACTCACCTCGGATGATAAACAACCCCTATAAACGCTGTTGCTACGCACCGGCCACTAACTCTGTGCCAAACCCACAATTATCCCAGTTAGGACCTAAGTCCAAACTCTCACTCATTAGGTCTAAAGGTAGTCTACTAACCAGCCCATCAATGACCTAAAACCCAGTGGGCCCACTAATAAATGGGCTCTCCTGAGGCCCAACTCTCACATAAAAAAGGCAAGCCCAACTCAATCGCCCAAAACACCTATATAATTATTCCTCTGGTCCAAAACTCTATTACAACCAGCCCAACTCCAGGCCCAACACTCAAGGCCCAAAAAAGACTTAACCCAAAAGTCCACAGTGAGGTTACGCGGGGCGTACCTCCCTTGGTACGCTCAGCGTACTCACGAATCCAGTTTGGCCATCGGAGACACTCGAGCAGTACGCGGAACGTACTGGAATTACGCTCAACGTACTTCCCAGATTCACTCTTTCTACTCATTTGGTCTTAACCCGTTAAGACATTAACTCAAATCCCAGATCTGGACTCCATAAGGGCTCTTACTCCATAAAGTCAGTGACTTTAAGCTTTTGCATGGCTGATAAGGTCACAAACACATAAAACTCTTACTCTCTTAACTCAAAATGCTTATATCTCATGCATGGGTTGATTCTCACGTTCAAGACCTCATTTTTGTGGATCCTCTCCACTAGAAACACTTAAAAGGACAGATATTAAGCTCTGGAGTGCTACAACTCATAAAGCTTCATACTTTGGGACCAAAAACCCTAAAATGGACCATATCATGCACAAAACAAAAAGGATGGGAACTTTGAGCTTTATACCTTCAAATGATGCTCCAACCACAGAAAAGCTCAGATCCAAAGCCTGGACTCCAACTCTATTCTCTTCCATTCTCCTTCTTCACGCCAAAAATCCTACAAGAACACTTATAAGCTCACAATGGTCACACACAAGCTCAAGAACGAGGATTAGGGTTTGAGAGGGTTTATTGACTGAGGATGGTGGCCAGGAATGAGGCCGTCTCATTCTTTATATAGGGACACTCCTCTCAATTAGGGTTTTCCTTATGTGCCTAGTACGCCTAGCATACCCTCTGGTACGCGCAGCGTACTAGGTGGATACGCTTAAAAGTCACGAACATGAGTACGCTAAGCATACACACACGTACGCCCAACGTACTCTGCTGCCACCTTTTTCAATTAAAGGACTTATCCTGCCATAAATTCAAACTTCCATTGCTTAGCTGCTATAAGTATGTTTCCAATGAATCTCATATCCACGGAAAGATGTCAAGATGCTTTACGCTTCCAGCAACTCGTCGCAACCCCGAGACTTCCTCATGCCCGGTTTGCAGCCCACAAACCCTAATCTCGGACGATCCGAAACAGGATGTTACACCGTCAACTTGTTAAACTCCCGGTAATCAATGAACATCCGGTGTGAACCATCCTTATTCTTAACAAACAAGATCGATGCTCCCCACGACGAACTGCTTGGTCTAATAAGTTTCTTGCCCAACAGCTCTTGAAGCTGAGAGGAAAACTCTTGCATCTCAGGTGGTGCCAATCAGTATGGCGCCTTGGCAATCCGAGTCGCACCTGAAACCAAATCAATCCTGAACTCAACCTACCTCTCAAGAGGCACATAGGGTAGCTCCTCCGTGAACACTTCTACAAACTCTCTAACAACAGGCAGATTCGAAACTGAAACCTGCTCCCCAACTCGTGTATCAAACCGCACCCGAAACCGAATAGGGGGCGATGTTCCCCTGCCACCGTGGCAAGCACTGCGGCCAAACCGCACCTGACTCCCTTGAGCTTAAGCATAAATATTCTTCATCTTTCCATCACATTTTTTCATGTGTGGTGTTCCAAGCTCACAACGTCGTTGTGAGGCCAATTAAAGAAGAAAATCAGGGGAAGGTAGAGAGAAGAATAGGGTGTTGCCCTCCGTTGTCGTTACCACATCTCTTACCTTAATGGTTGGTCGGGACGGTGTTTCAGCCGTTGAAGACCCTCAATGTCCAATAACGGGGGAAAACGGCCTCATACTGAGTAGTCTAAAAGCATATGTGAAAAACCTAGATTCCATTGGTCGGATTGATGTTGTATCCATTTAGAGGTTTTTTCTTTGTCGATTTAGCTCAATCTTTCATGTTTACGTTTCTATTAGTGTCTCGCTTGCTGGTTTTAAATAAAATAAGTTATTAAAAAAGGGAAAGAAAATATATGAGTAGTTACTTACATTTAAATAAAGAAATTTACTATGTATTTATTATCCTTCCTAATAAATGAAAATAATTTGCCATTTGTCAATCTCTCATCAATTTTGACACTTGTCATTTTATGATATTTTTTAAGTAACTAATATCCATATGTCAATTTATGAGTTTTTTCAATTTTTAAAATTAAAAAGCCAGATAATACCTTTACTTATATATGTAAAGTATTAAATGTAATAAATATGATAATAAACTGTAATTAATATGTAACTTTATTTCTTATTTCAAAATTTTATTTGAAAAATGCTTATTACTTAAATTTTAATATTTAGTTTTTTTAATCAACCAGTATAATATACAGGTCTTATACCTAGTGATGATATATTAATCTATTGAAGTTAGTTAGTTAGATGTATTCGTTGGATGCATAATGCCTCTCATGACTCAATTGTTTTTTATTTTTTTGTTAACTTCTAATGCCCCTTAATAATATTTACAATAAACATTTACAATTGTGTTTGAAATTTTTTTTTAAATTACTTATTAATTTATTTATTTAAAAAAAATCAAGATAAAAAAAATGTTCATTTATAATAGGGATTTTCTAACATGTGCCCTAAGGGCACATATAAGAAACATTAATTATAACAAATACTACCATAATTAAATTTAAAATACATTAATTATAACGATTATTACCATAATTAAATGTGAGATATATTAATAATTTTCATAATAAATGCATTTCATATTTAATTATAGTAATATTTTTCATAATTATTGTTTTTTATATGTGCCCTTAAGGCAAATATTAGAAAAATCCCTTTTATAATAACTTTTTATTGAAAAAAAGTGATTTTTTTAAAAAGCAAAAATTACTGATTTTTCCAAAAAATCAATAAAAATTTTGATAAGCAAACTCAAACACGCCTAAAATTAATTAAAAAGTAATATTTTTCTTATCAACTTGATGTGTGTGTTATATGATTAGAATTTAGAAAGCTTCCAATTACATAAAATTATGTTAATCACTAGTTTCCTATATTAACATAAGTTGCATTTTTCAAAAAGAAAATAACAAACAAGATACATTTTTCAAAAAGGAAATAACAAACAAGAGTATACCTTTCCTTTTGTAAACAAGATATTTTATAGAATGGTCAACCACAATTCATATCGGCTTCAAATACAACCCGACCCGACCCGCTGACATCATATATTTGTCACTCACTTAAAAGCACCCAATCACACACAACTGTCACTCACTTGTCAAAAAGGCGCACGTGTCTTTGACTCTTTATTGAAAAACCCCAACTTCACACTTTTACGAGCCCTAATTTCTCTCATCGTCAACTATTCAACTCGATCGATCAATCAATCAATCGATCCCCTCAGATCGAATTCAACCTCTGTGAAATTCAACTCACCAATTCGATTGTTCAGGTCAGCTTACTGTTTTTGATTCGGTTTTCTTCACATACGTTCTGTAGCTTCGTTTCACTCTTCGATTTGACGATTTTGTATGTTTCCTTGTGATCGTTAACTGTTTGATCGTGTCGGTGATTAGTCGTTAGTTGAAATTCCAGCAATTGAATTATTTTTCTTATTTTAGGTCATTTGTAGCGTGATTTACGCGGATGAATTATTAATTTCGATACGAATTAGGTAATTGGAGATTCGGAGATTCTGTTTGAGCTAATTCTGTATAAGTTTCATCTGTTAACGCAGAAATCAATACTTGACATTCTCATCCGTACTTAATGAAGTCAAAAGCGAAAAGTTAGGGTTCCTTTTTTTGGAATGTTGGGTGGATCTTCGGTGATGTTGGCTGTGACTTGTTTTGGATATTATCATCCAACAAAAAATGCCAGCAGTTCGGCATTGTTCCAGAATTGACACTTTTGAGCTGAAACTTCACATGGAAAGAAGACTCGGATCACAAAAAGCTCAAAAGTACTTCAATCTTCTCACCAGATACTTAAGTCAAAAGCTCAGAAAACCAGAATTCAACAAGCTTTGTATCAGTTTAATAGGTAGAGAAAATCTTCGCCTCCACAATGAACTCATCAAATCACTTCTCAAAAACGCAACTCTTTCCAAAACACCTCCAAAGAAAGTCAACACCAACAACACTCTTAGTCAACCTTCTTCACGATTTGCTAATGAAAGAAAGGTTAAAGCTCACCAAAGTCAACAACAAAGTGCTATAGAGCTTTTTTCTTTAGGTAGCAAACCACCTATTGAAGTAAACTCAGTTGAAGATGGTGAAGAAGTTGAACAGATTTCAATAAGTCCTGGAATCCATAGTCGAAGCCCAGTTAAAGCTCCATTTGGAATCAAAATCCACTCAAAAGACTCAAAAAAAGTTCTTTCCATTTCTTCACCTTTTCACACGTGTCATTACAACTCTCAGTTACCACCTACATCTTCTTTATCTACCAGATTGAAACACAAGTTGAAAACAGAAGGTCTTGATATTACCATGGATTGTGTCAACTTAGTCAACAGCGGGTTAGATTCTTTCTTGAAAAGGGTTATAAAGCCATGTTTGGAGTTACGTAGATCAAGATCTTTGAAGAATCAAGAAAGATTGTTTCCATTTTCATCATCCATGGTGGATCTTCGTGTGGTGACAGAGTCAAATTCCAAGATTCTTGGAGAAGATTGGGGGATTGAACTTGAGAAGATTTGCTTGTTTGAAAGCAGATAAAAACTCGATTCTGTTGTATATATAAATGGGGAAAAGCTAACTAGTGATCTTCTTCAACTGGTATTTATATCTTACTCTACCTCTTTTTTTTTTTTTTTTTTTTGGATAGTTTGTTGATAAATGTTATATTCTTGAATCTTGAGTTGATAGAGGTATTAATTATAATTGAGTCATTAGTTGTTTACAAAATAACATCTTTTTGCCATTTTTGAGATGGTTGAATTTGTTGTTTATTATACTTTATTACTATGATTTTTTTATCAGTTTTGATGAGATGATTTTTAAAAATGAAGCTTCTTTTATAGATCTTGAAGTTCTTATAGCATACTTATTAATAATAAAAAATGTTAATTTAGAAAACATTCAACGTCATTTGGAGTATGTAATCATTATTGTAATTAATTTCAAAAAATAAAAAATTTGTTATTATAGTTCAAACCTATGTTAAAAAAGTTAGATTTTTTCTTGTAAGGTTAGGGACGTTAATTGGAACTAACTTTTTTATTTATTGATAATCATTGGCTCATTGCTTAAATTTAAGACAATTAACATTTATAAAAGTCAAAGTTCACAACGTCATATCTCATATAATTGGGTTTTAAAATCCATATAATTGACGACTCAGGCCCGTTTTTATAAATCCAACCATTAAAAAATAACCCGGTTTAACTTGTCCATAATCTTTCCTCTTGTGGAATCTTTAGACATTTGTATAACACCCACTTCATCGGTACGTAATTAGGGATATCAAAAATTGCATTTTAATATTTTTTTTTATCGAAAACAAGGCATGGCCTTTGGATAAATTCAACAAGTGCGAAAGACAAACTCAGAACAACTAAACGGTTACAATACTACATCATGGGTGTTAATAACAAATATTATATCTCCTATACCAAACATAACATAAATCTACCAGCAAGGGAGATGGCTAATTTGGGGTGTAATCGAGTCGAGTACTATCAAACTCGAAACTCGAGTCGACTAAAAAACTCAAGTTCGAAACGCGACTCAAGCCTTACTTTCAAACTCTAGCTCGAGCTCGAGCTCGATAAAGTAATCGATAATTTCAAGTTCGGCTCGACTCGACTCGGTTAGTTATTAAAATATAAAATTATATAAAAATTGCAATAGTAATAGGATTAAGCTATAGAGCTCGACTTGACTCGGCTCGTATTATGTAAATTTGAATAAAATAAAGAGTAAAATTGTATATATGACTAAGCTCGAATAAGCTAATGCACTTCAGGCGCCAAGTATTCAAATACTGAAGCTCTTCTTGTTAGGATGTGATGAATGATTGAGACAGAAAGAGAAAGAAAGAACAGATTGCACAAAATGATTCTCTCTTGTATATCATTTAGAAGAAATGAATACATATATTTAAGATGAGAGGAGCTAACTAATTAACTAAGTCTAAAACAAAATCTTTATGTTAAATGACAATTATACGATATTAGCTTACCACCGCTAACTAATTGTATTAACAACCATTACAATGTCAATTAACACCCCCCCCCCCCCCTTCTCAAGTTGGAGGGTAGGGAACAACATGTAGCTTGGAAGCAACATCTTGAAGTTGGGTAGTTGAAAGATTATTAGTGAAAATAATAGCCCATTGAGATTTGGTTGGAACACGAGACAAAGAAATTAACCCTATTTGCAACTTTTCTCAAACGAAATGACAATCTAATTCGATATGCTTTGTCCTCTCTTGAAAAGAGGGATTAGTAGCAATGTAGATTGCAACCATATTATCACACTTTATGGAATCAGAGTTATATTAGGCACTTGAAACTCTTATAACGAAACTGTGACTTGTTTCTTGGATTTCCACGAGATTGGGCTTCCTCTAAATAAGATAAAGAATCCACTAACTGATCGCCTAGTGACCGGACCAACTACCAATCCGAGTCACAATATGCTTTAATACCAAAAGTGGATGCTTTGTTGAATAATAACCCTTGAGTCACAATTCCTTTGTTGTATCTTAAAACATGGAGAGTTTGCATCATAATGGTGTTGACTAGGAGCTTTGTTGAATTGACTGAGATATTGAGTTGTAAATGCCAAATATGGTCTAGTGTGAACTTAAAAAAATTAATTTCCCAATCAACTGTCAATATAAAGTTGGATCATCCAAAGGATTGTCCATATAAGTGGAAGTAATTTGAGATTATGTGGCAATGGAGTGGAAATGGGAACAACATCAGTCATAGAATAACGAGCAAGAAACTCTTGTGCAAACTTATGTTGATGCATAACCATTCCACCTTCAACTTTATCAAATTGAAGTCCAAGAAAATAGTTCACTTGTCCCAGATATTTAATACGAAATTGAACACCAAGAGCCAATTTTAAAGTGGAGATTTCATCAAGATCATCACCTGTGAGGAGAATGTCATCCACATAAACTGCTATAATAATAATAGGCTTATCTATTTTCTTGATGAAAAGAGAATAATCGTTGAGAGAAGGAACATATCCTTTTTGCTGCAAGATATGGGCAACTCGGCATACCATTATCTAGATGCTTGTTTTAAATCATACAATGATTTCTTTAATTTGCAGACTAAATGAGTTGATGTAGAAGGATAACAGGGTGGTAATTTCATGTAAACATCCTCATGTAGATCACCATAAAGGAGTGCATTGTTTACATCTAATTGTTGAATCGTCCAATTATGTTTGACTGCCAATGAAACTAAACATCTGATGGTAGTGAATTTGACTACATAAAAGAAAGCCTCATCGTAGTCAATGCCCTCTTTTTAAGTGAATCCCTTTACATCTAAACATGCCTTGTATATACCAGTTGTCCCATATGTTTTGTATTTCAATTTATACACCTATCTGCATGAAATTGGCTTTTTGCCTTTAGGTAAAGAAACAATGTCCCATGTATTATTTTCTAGTAGAGCATCAAGTTTATGTTGCATTACAATTCCTAATTAGGATTTCCTTGACCTTGATGATAAAATGTAGCTTTAATCTCATGCTTAGAATCATTGAAGGCAAAAGTCTGATTGAAATGGGTATTATGAATAAGAATCTCAAAAGTAGAGCACATATTTGTGATTGTGTGACAACAAAGATGGGATTGATCAAAAACATTATTGCACACATTGTCTCTTAATTGAATTGCAGGATTATGAGACCTGGATGATGTTCTTCTAAAATTTTGCAAAGGTTGAGACTATAAAGGTAAAAATAGTCTCAGAATTATTAGATCTTGGAGTTTTAGAAGCTGGAACATATGAAGACATTGAGGGTGTGCCATTTGAGTTCAAAGGAATGAAAGAAGTAGGAGTTTGCAAAGAAGTGTTTGAGATGTTATGTAAAGGGAAAATATCTTCAAATAATTTAACATCCCTAGGAATATGAATTGTTTTGGTGTTGGTGATGATATTAAGAACTCTAAATGCCTTTTGACTGTCACGTCAATGTGAGATCATAAATGAGAACGAGGGTGCCATGCGGGTTTGCATGGTTATTCACATCTTGTTTGTGATCCTCGATATTCCAGTCAAAAAAGTAAGAGCATAATCAAAGATTAAACATGTAAATGATAGGTCAATGAATCTCAAAATATCTACGAGTTTCAAGTGATTGAAATTGGTAAAATGTATTATCTACCTAAAATAGATTCACAATCTGATTATGACATCCATCTCCTTATTACGAATTGAAAATATGGATCCTAGCCTTATATATAAATTTTGGGTTTACATATATTAATGATTGAAATCAACTAACTAAAACTTTATGTTATATAGATGTATGGAAATCATGATCTTCTTCCTCCTCCTCTTACCGCTCAAAGTTTAAACTTCATTCTTTTGTCAGTTCTATAAAAGGAAAAGCTCATTGGTCCAAACTACATGGATTCGATGCACAATATGAAAATGGCTCTGCATTATGAGAACAAAGAGTATGTTCTCAATAACTTTATTCCTGATATTGACATAGAAATTGCTAATCCTGAAGAAATTGATGAAAATATCAAACATGTTAACGACGCTACAAAGGGTGCTTGTATCATGATAGCCACTATGGTGCCAGAACTGCAAAAGTCCCACGAGGACTACTGACCATATGAAATGAATCAAGCACTTGGTGAAATGTTTCACAAGAAAGCTAGACAAGCATGTTATGAAGTCGTCAAGGCCCTAATGGCATGTAAGCTGAAGGAAGGAGAATCTGTGTGTGCTCATGTGAAGAAAATACAGACACGTGGAAAGGTTGGAGAAGCTCAATGTGAATTTTGAGAAGGAGTTAGCCATTGATATGGTTCATAATTCTTTTCCTAGTTGTTATGATTAGTTTATCTTGACTTATCATTTGAATAACACTGAAGCAACATTGATGCAACTCCATAATTTATTGCAAACTGTTCAAGAAGGAATGGAGAAGTCTCATCCCGCTAGTGTTGCTACTGCTCCTGTCTTAGCCATTCATCAAGGAAAGGGGAAGAAATGGAAATCTATCGGGTCAAAGGAGGAAGCTAACTATGAAGTTCCTCATGTTAACAATCCTAAGGAGGCCATTTTATTTCATTGTTGCCAAAAGGGGCATTGGAAGAGAAGCTGCCCGAAATACCTACAAGAGGTGAAACAAGGAAAAGGCAAAGTGTCTGACTCTTCGTCAGGTATATACACTATCGAAATCAGTAACACACAAATTTCTAATTCTTGGGTCCTTGATACACGATGTGGTTTTCACATTTGTTATGATATGCAGGGACTAAGGGAAAATGAGAAAGTCGAGCATGGAAAACTAAACCTAATCATGGGAAATAGATGTTCTTCACCTGTTACAAGGATTGAGATTTATGATCTTATGCTTAATAGTGGCATTAGAATAGATTTGGTTAATTGTTGTTTGTAGCGCCCAGATTCGTCAGGTAAAACTCTTGCATTAAAACTCCTTTATCCCCTTTGGACTAGACCGGAGTACGTTGGGCGTACATAAGGTACAAACAACGTAATCCAATGCATGCG